TGTATACATTTACAACTCGCCAAATCATTTTATATTAAATATTTTATTTAAACCCAACAACTTTATATAGCCTTCATTCAAACTAAACGATTAATATCTAATGTCCTCCCTGAGGTTTCATCTCTGGATTTAACCTAATAGCATGTCTGTACACATAATAATCTTTGGCAATCTGCCATAGAGCCCCCATTCAGTTAGGGTAACAGTAAACTGACACAGTGACTCCCGGACCTGCTTGTAGATAAACGTAAAAAGGTACGTACTGGGTTTTAGGCATTTTTATATGCATCTGTTAAGTGGTATTCTTAACCTTATTTATTTATTATTTAGTGTGCATTTCTATTTTATTTGTATGTGACATTTGCTGGTGAGTTTCATATCAATACTATACATATAGGTTATTGTACATATAGGTACAAACATAGTATGCTTGGAACATAGTAATTAGATCTTATAATGTTCTTGTATCGTTTGGTATTGAGTTGTTTTTAGTTTTTATTAAAAATGGGATAATAATATTGTTTGCATGTTAATACAATATAATTACCGATTGCATCTTTTTTAAATATTTAAGTATTTAGATGTGAATGTAATATAAGTAAACAGTTAACTTAAAAACGAGATTATATGTATTACATGTCAAAATACCTCACCCACAAAGAATTGGGTATCTTTAATCAAAAATAAATTATTTCGACTGTTCACTTCGACTGTTCAAACACACTTTAATTAATTGATTTTATGATCAACTACATTTTAGTATTTTTCCAGCAATTTTTAAGAAATTAGTACGCTGTTTGACGCTAAAAAAAGATGACGTCACAATACACAATCTCGTACAAATTTCATAGAAAACCGTCGTTTTTGACAGTTCGAAACAAGTATTGAATTTGACTAGTTGTGAAAACTGTATTACCGCTTCTAAGTCATTGCATTCATTGTCATGAAGGGGAAGTACTCTTACTACTTTAGATAGAAAGTTATACTCAAAGAAAACATTCCTTTATTTTTGAAAAGAAAGAACAATGCATTTAAAGATTTTTAAATAAAATATGGTCTTAAAAAACCGACTTCAGAATACTATTAACAAACAAAAAGTCAAAACTAAATGTAAAAAATAACTACTATTATTAGTACTGATAGGTTACCCACCCATTAACAGGTTAGAAGTCGGCGCCATAAGTTCTATACAAAATTATTCAATAAAATCGTAATACATACCATGTTTATAATTTTTTGGCCACTAAGTTAAGTTATATCATTATGATATGAGCTGAGCTTTTTTTTGAGGGGGAATATCATCACCCACTCATCATGCTCCTAACTCTTCGCCTTCCTTACTTGACCTGATGATCGTGTCCTCACCTGATCATGTTGATGATCATGGCCAGCTGACTGCTTCATTTTCTTACCATGATTTAATATATTTATCATACCGGATCCGCACTCCTAAACGAAAACCTCGCTTTGTCAATTTGCGCAGTTACAAGCGCCTGGATCTGGAGGCGTTGCAGCATGATGTCTCTCTCATTGACTGGAGTCTTGTGATTGATGCTGGGGACATTGATGTGAAGGTTGACACTTTTAACTCGATTATACACGATCTGTATGATAAACACGCACCGGTGCGTCGTGTGAGGATTAAACACGACCCAGCTCCGTGGGTTACTTCTGTAATTAAAGATGCCATGGGTCGTAGGGACAGGGCGAAACAAAAACTTAAGCGCAGACCTTCCGCTGAAAATCTGGCGAATTTCAAAATGCTGCGGAACTGATGCAGTCGTCTGTGTAGAGATGCTAGGAGGCGCTATTTTGAGGAGAACCTGGAGAAGCACAATTCAAGCGACGTTTGGAGGTTCTTGCGATCTGTGGGCGTAGACCTTGCGGTTCTAAACGACCACTTCTCACTCTCCCCGGTATCACTCGACGGCTCCATTAAATCTGTCACCCTATCCAATCTTTCTAGTTTACCACTTCCTCCCTGTTCTCCGTTCGTCCTTAGCAGTGTCACTGATGATGACGTGAGAAAGTCCATGTTGGCGGTGAAGTCCTCAGCGGTGGGCAGTGATAAACTATGCTCTCGTATGTTTATCCCTATTCTTCATCTCCTCACTCCTATTCTTACCCACATCTTTAATTTCTCCTTATTTTCCTGTTCTTTCCCTACTGCCTGGAAAATGGCTCACGTTATTCCCCTGCCTAAAATAAACAAACCTTCTGTTCCCTCTCACTATAGACCTATTTCTATTCTCCCTTTTCTTTCCAAGGTCATGGAACATATTGTTCAAACAACTAACGGCCTATTTATCCAGTAATAATCTCATTTCCTCCTTCCAGTCAGGTTTTCGTCCTGGTCACAGCACCGTCACAGCTTTGCTCAAAGTTACAGATGACATTCGCTGGGCATGGATAATAAATCTCTCACTCTTCTTGTTCTGTTGGACTTCAGTTCCGCCTTCAATTCCGTAGATTTTGATGTCCTGTTGGGTATCCTTAAGTCCAACAATTTCTCCTCTTCTTCCTTATCCTGGATCAACTCCTATCTCCGGGGCCGCCGTCAGCGGGTTCGCCTAGAGGATACCTTTCCGATTGGTGTGACCTCGCTGCTGGCGTGCCTCAGGGTGGTGTCCTTTCTCCAGTTCTTTTTTCCATTTTTATTAACACCGTTGCCATGGTTATCACTTCTAATTTCCACCTCTACGCAGACGACTTGCAGCTTTACCGTCATTTCAAGCTGTCAGAGGTCGACTCTGCAATTGAAGCCATGAACCGTGACCTGAGTGGGGTCGATGAGTGGGCCAAATCCTTTGGCCTGCAAATCAACCCCCTCAAGTCCAAGGCTATGATAATTGGGGGTAGGTTTTACCGCAACGCATTGAGCATCTCTGCCCTTGATCCTTTGATCCTAAATGGCAATGTTATCCCTTACACTGATGTTGCCAAGAATCTGGGCGTGTTTATTAACTCTAACCTTTCGTGGGGTGAACAGGTGAACGAGATCAGTCGTAGAGTTCATTTCTCTTTGCATTCGCTGAAGCGTCTCCAGTCTCTTCTACCTCTGAAAACGAGGATCAACCTTATGCAGTCTCTGATCCGTCCATTGATCGACTACGCTGATGCTTGCTATTTGGATGCCACGGAGGAGCTTCTAAATAAACTTGAGCGCTTGCAAAATGTCTGTATACGCTTTGCCTTTGGTTTAAAAAAGTACGATCATATCTCGGAATTTCGCAAAAGGCTCAAGTGGCTCCCAATCCGACTTCACAGGAACACTCGCATCTTATGTCTTCTTTTCAATATACTTTTTAATCCCGATTATCCCTCTTACCTTCGTGAACGTTTTTCCTTTGCCCGCCCTCCTGAGGCTCTTTCCCGATCTCATCTTAAATCTAATCTTTCTGTTGTCTCACACAATACTGATTTTTACACCTATTCCTTCACTGTTCATGCAGTGCGACTTTGGAATTCCCTACCACCTAATATCCGTGATTCTAAATCCATCCCAATCTTTAAAAGACTCGTAAGGGAGCACTACCTTTCCTCATCTTGTTCAAATTAGTGTCATATATATATATATATATATATATATTTGTATGTTTATTTGTAATATACTCTAATATGTGTATTATTTGATGTGTATCGATCATATGTATGTATAGGTTTATGTATTTTATTGTGATCTATTTATTTAATACATATTATGTCATGTTACGCACAGTGTCTCTGTTTTTTCCGTTTTTCCTGTCGAAGGACTGCAGGAAGAGATTCCTTCGGGAATATGTAGTACCTATGTACCTCCAAAATATTTATATATGTGTTCTCCTATGTACTGTCTGTGTGTTGTGCATAAACCGATAAATAAATAAATAAATAAATAAATCATCCAATAAATTCTCCCACCTTGGGTTAGGCTACTGGCGCCATCTGTGGTGGTCTGATGGTTCTTGATGGTTCTTTGAGAACGCAAAACGCGACGTACCGTACGCACAAGTTATTTCATATTAAAATTTTCGATTTAAACGCCATTTATTTTAGGTTCCATTTATGTACACACCTACATCCTAATTAGCCTTGGCATATAAATATAAAAAACTAGATGGAAACTTTAGATAAACTGTATACATAAATCAAATCTAACATCTTTGACATTTCCGGCTTTTAATTTTATACGTCGTCTTAAGTACCTACTACGCTCGCTATGTTCTGGAGCCGTAGACATATTTACTTTACATCCAGTTTACATGTTATAAGTAAGTAGTATATATCGACATTCACAGGCAAAAAAATAAGTTTAAATTATACATTATTAGCGAAATTTTAACATGGATTCGTTCATAATTATATTGGTTATTCGTTGTTTGAAATCCCGTTAGGTAATCCTTATTATGATATCATTTCATTTCATCTTGTAATAGATAATAATTGCATTTTCTATCGTTCATACCAAGGGGCGTGCTCTGAGGAATTGTTTGACCTAATACCTGCCGCATCTTTTCGCCATCGACCCTCACGACAGCATATGTATCCCTATCAGATAAATGGTTGGCAGGCCACAACTGTGCGCTTCTCACGCAGCTTTCTGCCTCGCACAGCAAAACTGTGGAATGATCTGTCATCCGCAGTATTTCCGAACCGATATGACCTTCAAATCTTCAAGAAAAGAGCGTATTCCTTTTTACAAGGCCGGCAACGCACCTGTGACTCTGGTGTTGCGGGTGTCCAGGAGCGGCGCTAATCGCTTACCATCAGGTGATATGTCTGCTCGTTTGCCTCCTATTCCATAAAAAAATGAAGATTTTAAACAGTTAAAATACATAAATTAAAAAAAAAACAAACCAGAACAAACAAATTTACCCGTCACAAAAAAAGGAGGAGGTGCTATGTTCGAAATCGAGTTTTAATTCAAATGTGCCAGTGTGCATAACTGCTTACTTATTTACTAGAAAAATATTACGTACCTACTTACATAATTATTTGGTTATAACTAGTTTCAGGTTACAATGGGTCTACCTCAGCTGCAGACATGTTGCCTCATCTTCGACTTAAAGACTGGCTGCATCATCATGGGCAGTATCAATGCGGTGAGTTTGCTATTCATTTTAAATCAGGCGCTCTTGTATTTCGATAAGAAGTATAGTATCTATTGAATACTCGCTTGTCTGCAAGTTTATCAGTCTACATATATTTTTTTTTAAATAAGTTACCTGTGTCAAAAATAGTGAATTATAGACTGCCTCGTTGGCCGAGTGGTCGCAATTGTGACTGCCGGGCAAGGGGTCTCGGGTTCGATTCCCGGGTCGGGCAAAGTATTACTGGGTTTCAAAAAAAATCTCACTAGTGGCAGGGAGTCTGGAACTGTGCCCGGTATATGGCAATACGCTCACCCCCTATTACATGGGACTCATAACATAAATAGTGAACAGTGGGTGTTACATTGCATAGTGATAATGTGCACCAATGCCTACCCCGTCGAGGATAAAAGGCGTGATGTTATGTTATGAATTATAGACAATTTGAAGAAAAAAGAAGTATAGCAATAATTCCTGTTCTAATGACTACAGATTACATTAATCGCTTAACACAAATCAACAACCATTTAAACTCATGTTTGGTCTAATGCAGAAGAAAAACAGAAGAGACAATATGTATTTTGCATTTGCTAGATAAATCTTGAGCGAATCACAAGTGTAGTCGTAAACTACGCAGTAATCTAAGGGTTAAAAACTAATACTTATTTTCCGCAGGTCCTATCCTTCACGCTTCTATCCTTGATGATAGTGTTAGCAGAAGAAGTGAGGGCTATAGATGTAGAATTGTTGTATGCTGGTGATGTGGAGATGCAGGCTGGCGTCGCAGGGCTCTACGCCATGACCGTCATCCTGGTGTTCATGTTCCTCATCAAGTTCCTGTTTGATGTCATCTTCGTTTATGGGGTGTCTACGGTGAGATTGTTACTTATTTACAAACTAAAACATTTTGTTTGATACCTTTTTGTTTATGATGTAGAAAGCCTGTAAAAAGGCCCTTAGTTTCTACAAAAAATATTAAGAAAAAGAAAGAAAGAAAATCAGTTTATTTGCACCATTACAGAAAAAAAAACAAGAAAAATCTATACTAATAATTTCGTCAAGAGGTAGGTACGGTAGACTCCATCGAAATATTATTTCGAGTCGACAACATATATCCGCAAAATTCGGATTACGGAGATTATTTCGTTTTATTAATTCATTTTAATTACACTGACAGACAAATCGCAGTCGCCATCTTGGGTAGACAATAAACGTTCTGTTTCATATACTAGCTCTCAAATACGCCTCGCCAATCAACACGTTATCGCGTCAAAAAAGTATAAATTATAAAGAAATATTAATAATTTCACGCGAACGAAGTCGCGGGTAACAGCTAGTAGTTAAATAAAACAGAACAATGTACTTACACGGTGCAAAAGGCCAGTGGTCAGCTCAAATGCCGTGTCACGAGCGCTATTGCTCGAGGCGCGGCGCTGATTTTCAGCACTAGCCTGTTACCAAAACTGTTACTGTTACTTCTTACTTGACTAAAAACACTCGGACGGGTACCAGCAGTAGGTCTCCAGGTCACCAAAATAAATTCTGGAGCCTCTACTGAATCACATCCCTTGAATTGCGTAGTTCTGAAGCCTTCTAAGTGCTAAAAAGACACACTTCTCCCCTTGATTGAATACCTACTTATATCTTTTACTCTATTATGGCTTAGAAGACATCAATAAGTGCTTATATTGGGTAGATGGAACGGTGTACTCCATTATACTTTTCTCTACCCTCATTAGGACAACTGGAACCACAAAACAGAACTTAGGTAATTGTTGCAATATTTAATATTTCTAGAAGGTTTATCTAGAACTAACTTCCACGACTTCATCCGCTTGGACTTAACATTGGATAGTGAACTATCCAAAGTAGCCCACAGCTCCTCCCCCATAGGTGATAGCGTGATAATATGTAGCTTATATGTTGGACTTGCTGGTAATATTTACGCAAAATTTGAAGTAAATCCATGCAATATTTCTTGATTTTAACCCGGACATACATAGATACAGACGAACAGACAATTTTTGACTTTGATATCGACTGTAGATTACGCACCAAGTATTTTTTTAAAGATATTTATAATGTGCAGTTTTGACTTTCCTCCGATATTATTATAATTATATGTATGTGTGTTGTAGATGATACAACTATGTTAACTATAATAATGCTTTAACGATAATGATGAATCAATGTTTCCAGGAGCGTCCTGGCATCATCAAGGCGTACATGATCATGTGGATCGTGTTCTTCATACTGTCAATGTTCATCTTCTTCCTCAATGCCTCCAACATCAGTGTCGGCACTATTTGTACCGAAATGATTTATATTGGTAAGTTATCGGTGTATTAGATACTACCTACTCCCGTGTTTCACCCTCTCTGCTCAGTTCCTATTGGTTTAGCGTAATGTTTGGATTATCTAACACAAATAGATTTTTTTTAATCAAATCAAGTAGTTCCAGAGATTTACGCGTTTAAGCAAAGAAACAAACTAACCTTTTTTATAGTAAAAATACTAGCGACCCGCCCTGGTTTCGCACGGCACATATAGGGACAGACAGACGGCGGATAGCGACTTTGTTTTATACTATGTAGTGATACCTTTTTTCTCACCTTTTAAACTTTTTCTGGACGTCATCAAATAATTCATGACCAAATCGGTTCAGTCGTTCTCGAGTATTAGGGAGAATAACGAACAGCATTCATTTTTATAAGCATTGGCACCAATCAATAGTAACGTTTTGCACTTGTGTCTAGACTTTCCTTCCTTACTTCCTTCGAATCCTTTAATGTATTAGTAAAAAAATTAAGTTTTCATTTATTACATTTCAGCTCACAACGTGTACACCATCCTTCTGTGCCACAGTTTCTACAAGCAACTGAACACCAGAGAAGAAGTGTAAACCAATTATGAAGCTTCAATTAATTTTTTTTTAGTGCCAATAGCATTTTTGAAAGTCTGACAATAAAACTATTTAACTGCCATTTCAAAAACTGTAATTTTAAAATTACTTATGGTTTTTGTCGTAGATGAAATCTAAAGAACGATGTTGTTTAAATAACAAGAAGAAGTAGTTAGACAATATTATTTTACACCTTACTTTCACTGTCACTGTTTGACGACGCAACTCGATTAATTTCAAGCCGCACTGGGGGCTTATACACAGAATTGCGTTACAAATAATAAATATTTTGAGCTTTAAACTAGCTGTTGTGGAAGTTAAATTTCAAAAGCCAACATTAGTAAGGATATTTAGGTACTATTATTTCTATATTAATTATTTCGTCAAGGGCTACGGTAGACTCGATTGAAACATTACCTGAATAACAAAACATAAAAAAATGTCGATTTCGAGTCGACAACTTATATCCGCAAACTTCGGATTACTGAGATTATTTCGTTTTATTGATACATTTTAATGTCACTGACAGACAAACCGCAGTCGTCTTGAGTCGACAATAGGTATACGTTCCGTTTCATACTAACTCTCAAATACGCCTCGCCATACAAAAGTGGTCGCGTCAAAAAAGTATAAATTAACAAGAAATATGAATAATTTAACGCGAACGAAGTCGCGGGTAACAGGTAATATAATCATATTTCATTAATGAATGCCATAAAATGTGCCAAAATTATGTCAAATTATTATACATAAGTAAGCTTTATCTAAATATTTAATTTCAATGCTATTTTAAATTAATGTTTGTAGGTAATTAAAATATAATGTAAGAATTTATATATGAATTGTTTATTATTCATTAAATTTGTTAGTTGTTGTTACTATATATGTCTATATAAAAATATTAATACTGTTTTAAAATTCACAATATTGTTTTCTTACCCCTTCTCTTTTTTTTGGAGCAATTAAACACATAAACGCGTCAGTGAAGTTATTTAGCATGCAGGTTTATAAATAAGGATAGATTCAGTACAGAGATAGTAGCCAGTGGTTACATGAGATATCTACCTTTAAAAAAAACGATGCCCCCACACTAAGATTTTCTCCTGTGTCGTGGGTACGTTTACAAATATACAAGTTCACATACACAATGACACCTAGACCCGGAACAACAATTTGTGGATCACACAAAGTGTTGTTCCGTGCGTCCGTTGCACGGCAGCCGGTTGCTCAGCCACCGCACCAACCGTGCAGTCAAATTTATGTAGGTAACAGTCGGTTACGGTCTCTGAACTGATTTAACCTTTAATTTCTCTACTTTAGTACGGACTTTCCAGATGGACAATTAATTACCGACTATAAAAACTCAGTAAAACTATCAAGAATAAAATTATAAAAAAAACTACCACTACTGTAAAAATATTAATTAATAAAAATAACATAACCCATAAGATTATAATGTGCCTACTCAAATAGGTACCTAAGTATTATTAATTTTATATTTTATTAAATATGATATAATTAATAAAACATAAACAATAAATATATTTTTTTAAGAATCTCAGTAGTAGGTAGCACAGAGTTAGTAATTGTGCCCGGTATATGGCAATAAGCTCACCCCCTATTGGATGGGACTCATAACATAAATAGTGAAATTTGGGTGTTACATTGTATAGTGGCATTAAGTGCCGTAATGTGCACATCTGCCTACCCCTTCGAGGTTTAAAGGTTATGTTATGTTATGTGTTATATATAAATTATAATACTTATAGGTATATTATTTAGATTGTTACAAAACAAAACTAGATAGGCTTAGTCAATCCGTTGGGATACTCTAGCTAAGTACATCTGCTATATAGTAAGTTATTTATTTATGTACAAAAATTAATCATCCACCCTATTCATGGATATATTGTTTTACTAATATTTGCTTACATTAGTAGTAGGTATTATCGAAAAAGCCATAGTACAGGATAATCTATTTTCCTTTCCTTATAACGCGCTAATCAATTGCCATTTTGTTTTATAGGAAAACTAAATTTAGTTTATTATTATTTCCTATATGTTATCCAGATTGTCATCAAAGCATTCGACCAGAAGATCTTCGTCGTCAGCGTGTTGGTGGAATCTCAAGTCTTTACCTCTGTTCATAAGATCGTAAACCGTGTAAATCACCACCAGGAAATGTATGTGGAGAACTGCAAGAAAAAAAAACTTTAATTAACATTTGGTGGAGAGATTGCCAAAACAACTGGCGAACAAGGGGTCTTGAATCGGACAAATAAATTATCGGTACGAATAATGCAATTTTTATCGATTCTTCGAAAATTTGTCTAATAACAGTACATTACGTAGTTCGGGATGGCATATAGCAACGGTGTCATTTTCATCCTCTATTTCATGGGATTCGTTACATACCAGACGATTAATAAATTTAATTATTATGTTTTCGGCCTACCCACATAACTGTTTGACAAGGAACCATTCGACATTATAATAATTTATTAAGTGTGTCTCACGAAAGTTTTAATATAAAACTGACGAACATTTGCCAAATTATGTATGTACGACGTAGTTTAGTTTATATCTGCTCCATCCGCAAGCGGTCACCAGTGACCACTCTCCACTTACTCTATTATAGACCTTATTATCGATGTTGAGAGACTACTTTTGTATGAACAAATTTTCGGTACCTACGATATATCAACTTAGTATTATCGACAGCACTAGGTATGACAGCTAGTGCTTTCGATAATACTAAGTCGCCAAATTATGTATATACTGTTAGACTACGAAAATCAACTAAAAGAACGTCACTAGTTTAATCTGTATTATCGACAGCTCTAGCTGTCATGTTGACGATGTCATCTGTCAAATATGACAGATTAGTTTCCCGCGCAAAGAGTGGTAACGCGCGATTCTGGTGGGAAGTTTGACGACCTTCACGCTGTGTTCTTATAAGAATCCGTTTAGAATAAACTTTTCAGTATTCAAGTATTGAGTTTTACTTAAAAGTACTCTAACTGTCGCGGAAAACCTAATGATAACCGGGGCTCCGGCTCGACGCGCAGGAGAAGGAACGGGGTGGTTTTAGTCAGTAAGAGTCTGACACTCCCGTCTCACCCAGGCGGGAGCAGTAATTCGATGATTTTCCCCCCTTAAAAAAAACAACTAACTATATATTCGTAATGATGTTGCATCTACCTAGTAGTATATGTAGACATTGTAGGTACCGCTCTGGTTACAAAAAATGCCTGATGTATTGTTTAAAGTTATCCGTATTGTCTTCAAGGTAATAAGCGTCATATTTATTTATTTACTATCGATTGACGAGTAACATTTTACACTAAGCTATATTTATATGTGTAGCGCGAATGGCCTTACAGAAAACCGACGTGAAACCACGCTTTCATTGTGTTTGGTCGTATTAGTTAAATTACCGGAGACCCAATTACCCCTCTCGCCATTCTCCCTAATCCTGAATGCCGAACAACCGTCAAATTACATTTCCCCAAAAGGCCGGTAATTGACTTGTAAAGCGTCTGGTGTATCGGGTGTCCATGGGCGACGCCGATTGCTTACCATCAGGTGATCCGTCTGCTCGTTTACCGGCTTATGCCACAAAAAAGAATTATCCAAATGATAATGATGATGACGATATATGTTAGTATCCTTTCACTCATAAAATAGGTGATAGCAAAGATAATTATTTATTTAAAACTAGTTTATAATCAATATTATTTGAGAAATTTGAGATTAAATCTATCTCAAATAAACTGTTGAATTTCACTTACAGGACAATGCGAACAGGATAAAGGAAAGTTTCCAGCTCTGTAAGCTCTGCAGTAGCACTAGTAGAGCGCTCAGTATACTGATGATGTTTATCACGATGCCAAACAAGAAGTGACTCAGCACGAAGTTGGCATTGTTCTGAAAAAAAAAACAATGCTCTTACTTATCTACTACTTACTACTATCTACTAGTAATTTCGTCCACCTTTCCGGAATATAAATTACTCCATGTGATATTTCAGACTATACCATATAATGTACACTGGGAGGTTTTATTTTATTTATTTATTTATTTATTTCTTCTTCACAAAATAAGGTGAATGGCGGACTTAATGCCTTAAGGCATTCTCTTACAGTCAACCATAGGGAAGTGCAGAGAAATGAAGTGGTTGATGCGAAGACAGACAACAATAAAAAAAAAGGTTATGTAATATGTATACTACACACATAAATACCTATAGAATAAATATATTAATACAATATTTTATAAATAGACATGTACATACCATATAATATATACTACTAAACAAATACTTATACTGCATAAATACTACAATATATTATATAAAAAAAAGAGAACGAGGTTTTCCTGTATCGTGGGTGCGTTTACAATTACAAACGTACAAGTTCACATACACATGACACCCAGATCTGGAACAACAATCTGTGGACCACAAAATTGCATTTACTCTAACTAGATATACCAAATTTTCGTTGAAAAGTAAGAGAGGAAGACTCACGCATAACCTTTGCGGGCATTATGGCAAGCCCTATTATATAGAAGAGACCCATAGAGAAGAGATCCTTCTGCTTAAATTCCATAAAAAAATATAGTTCTTGATTTAAAATTACATACCCTGAGAATACCCAAGATCAACAGGACGGAGAACATCATCCATAATAAAGAGATGATCATGGTGATGGACAGAATGATATGAACCGACGAGGAGTTCAAGTATAGGCCCAGGTACTTGGCAAAGTGTACACTCTCCACCGTAAGCTCGTGCTTATTAACTCCAGACTCCATAATAAAGAACAGCGTAGACATCGAAAACATGATTACAGACAGGACCTGAAAAGTAAAAGAATGGTAATTACAACATTAAAGTCGTGTAAAAACAGATATTGGTGTAATTTTTGCGTGGGAGAGCCATGCGTCGGCAGGAATGGGCCGGCTAGAACAACAACTGTGTTTCAACTGAATTTGAATTTGGAACACCATATTTTGGTACGTGTTACTGCAGATATTTTCTTTATTACAATAAAAAGAGTTTCATCAAAATAATCACAGATAATTATTAAGAACACTACTTTGTACAATTATAAGTTCATATTTAATTAATTAGCTACTTCCACGCGGTTTCACACGCTCTGCTCAGCTCCTATTGGTCGTAGCGTGATGTTTTATAGCCTAAAGCCATCCTCGATAAATGCGTTATCCAACACAAAAATAATTACTCAAATCAGACTTGTGGTTACGGATGCTATCAAACAATCAAACAAAAAAATAAACTCTTCTGCCTTATATAATAGTATAAGATTATAGTAATTGGTCTACAGAATACCGAATCTTGCAATAAGTTAAGCAAGTGCTTAAAGCAAGCAAAATTTCTAAGTAAATATACTTCTTAAACGCATCTTCTGTTCTGGCAACTCGGCAAACTCATTAACTAGCAACACTGCACAATATACTACGGGTATTTCCCGAGTTTTCTGTTTCAGTAAATAATGTATTAAGTACCTATTAAGTATTACAATGAGTTATTTTATGAAATAACTGGATTAATACTTAGTTCTAATATATGTGTGCGAGAAAAAGATCATGCTATACATACTTTTCTGTAAACAAACAGTGCTTCCGAGGCAAGTATATAATTATAATGATGGATGAACCTTATCGTATATTATACAATATTTATTTCCCATGAGGTAAATACTAGAAAATACATATAAATGTATTACGTAGTATATACATTAATAAGCCAACGTGTCTCTAAACTAATACTAACTTTTATATATTTTTAACTAGCTTTTACCCGCGGCTTTGCTCGCGTCACAAAAGGATAAAAAGTAGCCTATGTGACATATACCAATACGCACAGCGCCATCTATACCAATAATTTCCTATTCCCTCGAGAATATCAAATTTTTCCGGGATAAAAAGTACCCTATTATTTAATCCAGACTTCTAACTTTACGTCTGCAAAAATTCAAAGCAATCGGTTTAGTAGTTACGGTGTGAAAGCGGAACAAACAAACAAACTCACTTTCCGATTTATAATATTATAGTAAGGAAGTAAGGATATACCTACATATAAAGCTGAAGAGATTGTTTGTTAGCTTGTTTGAATGCAAGTATCTATGGAACAGCAAGATCAATTTTTAAAAATCCGTTTTGTATTGTATTTAATTGTATACTGCATTTTACGAGGAAGGTTATCACTACATAGTATAAAACAAAGTCGTTATCCGCCGTCTGTCTGTCCCTATGTATGCTTAGATCTTTAAAACTACGCAACGGGTTTTGATGGTTTTTTTTTTAAAGTTAGAGTGATTCTTAAGGAAGGTTTAAATATGTAATACATGTATATTGTTTTGGCGCCGACTTCTAACCTATCAGTGGGTAGGTAACCTATCAGTAGGTACTAATCATAGTTATTTTTTGCTTTTGAATTTTGTAAACGCAGTTTTTATTATTTGTTTTATCATTTTTAGTGTAAAGCTACATAGATCCATTTTGCCATTTATAATCCACATTTGTCAACAAATTAAATTTGTATCGATTAGGTAGGTAAGTTATATTTTCACCTTATTATTTACGGAAGTAATGAATCACAATATTATTATGGCTATCAACTTATTTATTTTATGATTTACAATACATTAAATAATGTATTGCATTGTATACACGGAAAATGAGCACAGTGGGTAACTATAACTATAATATACTAGCTACTTCCGCGCGGTTTCACTCGCTCTTCTCGGCGCCTTTTAATCGTAGCGTGACATTTTATAGCCTATAGCCTTCCGCGATAAATGGGCTATTCAACACAAAAAGAATTTTTCAAATCGGACCAGTAGTTTCGGAGATTAGCTCGTTCAAACAAACAAACAAAAAAATTAACTCTTCAGCTTTATAATATTAGTAGCACTTCAGCGTCCGCAAATATATCAACGAAATTTTGACGGTAAATTGTTAAAATTGAGTCTCCTATGAAATGAGACCAAATTAAAATAATCCTATTTTTTGTGTTTGTTATTGTCAACAAAAATTGATATATGACATAGAAAAATACCTAAATAATCAGGAAAGTCAGGGAACAGCCGTAGGTGTTTTTTTTAAGGGGGGAAAATCATCGAATGACGGCTCCCGCCTGGGTGAGGCGGGAAGGAGTGTCAGACTTTTACTGACTAAAAACCACCCCGTTCCTTCTTCTGCACGTCGAGCCGGAGCCCAGGTAACCCGCTAGGTTCTCCGCGATAGCCGTAGGTGTAATCAGTAATTTATGAGCAAAACAGGACGACAAACTAGTACTATGAACTATAATAGACAGTATGAAATGCAGGAATACCGAGATCTATAAAGCCTGATATTTAGGAGCCCTACCCTGCCTTTGAAAAGTTGTGGCGGGCTTGTCCCATAAAAAAACCTGACAATATATGATGATGATGAAGCATATGTAGTCTATGGAGAAAATTTATATGTAGGTATACATAAAATAGAAAAACAAAAAATAATATAAAATTACGGCTTTTTACCCCGTGCACGTGCACGAAGGGGAGGGTAATTGGGCCTCCGGTAACCTCACTCACACGACGAAGCACAACGCAAGCGTTGCTTCACGTCGGTTTTCTGTGAGGCCCTGGTATCACTCCCGTCAAGCCGGCCCATTCGTGCCGAAGCATGGCTCTCCCACACACCTTTTCGCCGCCAACAACTTCTATAGAAGTTCAGGATTTTCGTGCCGTCCACGCCACTACTTCTATAGAAGTTCATTGTATCTACCTACTATAAAAAATACATTTACGATACATAAAACATTTGTTTCTTTGTAATTTTGTAATATGGACACGACGAACTATTTTTTCTCATGCAAAACAGACTATTTTCTGTTTTAAAAAGGTAAAACATAAAAGGTTTCAAATAATTTTATATCCCGCACGCCAACGACTTCATATCAAGTAGGCCAGTGATGTGACGCGTAAGGAGCATTCATTAGAATCTTTATTTACTATAATATTTGTTTTCTTTTCCATCCAATAGTTTTTTGAATTCTATGAATAAAAAGAAATTCCGGTCAGTAAATACCGTATTACAATGCGTTTCAAAATTAATGTACATCTACCTATCAAATCATTTCATTAAAATTAATTATTATGTACTGAGGGTTTTCGATATTGCTAGACCCATCTCTACGTAATGGCAAGATGTCGAGTGACACTAGCGCCGTCAACTTCAATAGAAGTAAACCTGTGACGTCGTAAGCGCTTAGGCGTCAAGGTCATTGTGTCATAGTTCCGGGCGACGCGTGCACGCACATTTTTCTTTCCCAGTGCAGTGCAAAATGACCGAATATGATTCGGATGAGTTGTTGCGGCTGTTTGGGGTATGCGCAGTAGCGATTCTTAGTATAAAATCGCTACTGCGCATCCCCCTCTACTTTCGTCCAGCGCTCATAATTAATCGCACGGCCTATACCTATAATTATTTTCATGATTATGAAATATCCAAATGATTGAGTCATTTTGATTCGATTACAAACTGTTTGGGTCGCGAAAAATTTGTGATCGACTCAGGTCTATATTTGTTCGCCGACACAGCTAAAAGTTTGCGAAACCGAGAGCCGCAACGAATAGGTATTTTATGACTACCTAATATCCATCAAACGTGCCAGTTTTTCATTTGCATTAAATGAAAAATAAGCTATTAAAGTTTAGTACATCTGTATTAAAATAGTTACTTACCATCCATTTCCAAAACTACACATATGTTGCCACTTTTAATCACTACAAACAATGTTCCTGATCGTGACCTGACGTTAGATTTTAAATGTAAACTAAAACCAAAAGCAAACCAAACTCGATAGAAAGAAAGAAAAGCATAGACAACTATTCCTTACGAAATGTATCGTGCTTTGAACGCCAATGACTTGATATGAAGTAAACAGACTACGTTATGAAATGAATAGTGAAGTGGCTAATGTTACGAATTATTATTATTATCTCTAGCAACTCTATGCATGTATCTTCATCTCTGATAACGGATACCCATTTTTCTTAGTATAAATGTTCATAAAATAAAACAAATTACCATTATAACTTAACAGTTTGTATTTTTAATTGTAAATTTGAGTACCAATTTAAATTTACACATATTTTTTTTCATTATCGACATGATGTTACCGCCATCCCTACTTTCGTACTATACATTTATTATACATTTATACGTTGGCGTACGGCGACACATCGTGTTTAGTATAGCTGGGCGGCGAAAAGGTTATGCCACTGTACAATGTAACATCCACTTTTCACTATTTATGTTATGAGTCCCCATAGGGAGTGAGCCTATTGCCATAAGAGATTTTTTTAAAAACCCAGTGTTACTTTTGCTCGTCCCGGGAATCGAACCACTCGGCCAACTAGGCAGTCTCAAGAAAATAAATAAACAACTAAATATGTGCCTATGGTTAATTAAACTTGTAACCGGAGAAATATTGATCAAAATCGGTAGAAATGTCGGTTTGATCATTTATTGCGTACAAAGAAAAAAAAATTCATTTAAACTTTAGGTACTTAGTATACCCATCAGTAGGTATGGACATTTATGTCTTTAGGCTACCTCCCGTAAAACATAATACCTATAGCATGATGATTGATTACTATTTTGTTTTTTTAACTCCCTTCTTTTTTTTCTTTAGGATAATAATTACTTTTTTTATATTTAATGAGCCGACGTTTAGCCACTATCTCGCCTGGTGGTAAGCGATGATGCGGTCTACGATAGAGTTTATGACTTTTCTAAATATAAACTTAAATAACGTTTATCTACATTGAAAATTACATTACAACCAAAATATATTATCATACCGCAACATTAGTTAAACATTCTCAAAATCACATAACGCAACAATTAACTCTTCCCTTTGAAAAACAAAATATAAATGGACACTTACACAACTGACAATTCCCACTACGAAACATCCTACATTCAATGGCACCATGAAACAACATTTTTCAGACGTAGACATTATTTCACAATTCACACACAACACTGGGTAATCCTCCAATGCCTGCCTTTCAAGTACTGTTATACAGGATAACCAAGAACTTAATCACTTCCTCTCCCCTCCACAACTAACATATTATAGGTACTTTAAACACATAAATAAATTATAACATAAACACAAGACTTCGTGAAATTCAATCCATAATGATTAGTGTGACAAAAATTATGCAGGGATGCATTACGGGTATAGTTTTTTATTTATTTTTATAGAAATTAGTTTATTTTAATTGTTATGTTCCCAATGAAGGTGCTTCTGGAAATTCTTAATATCAATAATATCATTTTTTGTCAATTCATTACGACTTAAACACTATTTTGGTCAACAAACACCTGACAATTCCTTTATTATTGCAGGTCTAAGCGGTAGCCGATGGAAAAGATATTAATAACAGAAAATATGATTCTTATTAAGAAATGTTTATTGCTTTTATTTTACTTATTTCATCATTGATATATTTTTACACACAAATATAATGATATTGAACACTTAAACACACCACATACACCCACTAAACATTATTTCAAATATTGTTGGTGGTTTCCGAACACTCAGTTCAACCCTGTATTCTCAAGTGGCGTTTTTACAAGCAGGCATGCAAACGTAGGATTGTTTATAATATTTTGAGTGCCCTTCTTAGGCCAATTTATACTCTGAGATTTTGAGCCCTTGGTAATGTACTTTTGCCTATTAAGGGCCTGTTTCATAAGGTCTGGATAGTTACTATGTACCAAATTTTGAATAAACAGTACGTACTACCTTGGCCCGCGAGTTTATCCGCGTGGAATAGTGATTCATAGCTCTTCCCCCGTAGGTGATAGCGTGATAACATGTAGCCTATACCTTTAGTAATAATCGTGCAAAATATAGTTTAGTATCTTAAGTTTCCTCCGGACATACATTGACAAACAGATAAACAGTATAAAAGGATATTTTAGGCTTCAATACCGATTGTAGATCACGTCCTAAGCATTCTTTTAACTCACTCTCCTGCATAGGGCGTTGCCTCGTAGCTTTTGTTCTGAGTTCATCTTGCCATCACCGACAATATTGAATAATTATGTCAGTAAGGCTCTAGTCGATTGTCGTTAAACACTTCTGGATCTCGGGCTTCAGAAGCATCGGTACTTTAACCTTTTCGCCGCCCAGCTATACTAAACACGATGTGTCGCCGTACGCCAACGTATAAATGTATAATAAATGTATAGTACGAAAGTAGGGATGGCGGTAACATCATGTCGATAATGAAAAAAAATATGTGTAAATTTAAATTGGTACTCAAATTTACAATTAAAAATACAAACTGTTAAGTTATAATGGTAATTTGTTTTATTTTATGAACATTTATACTAAGAAAAATGGGTATCCGTTATCAGAGATGAAGATACATGCATAGAGTTGCTAGAGATAATAATAATAATTCGTAACATTAGCCACTTCACTATTCATTTCATAACGTAGTCTGTTTACTTCATATCAAGTCATTGGCGTTCAAAGCACGATACATTTCGTAAGGAATAGTTGTCTATGCTTTTCTTTCTTTCTATCGAGATTGGTTTGCTTTTGGTTTTAGTTTACATTTAAAATCTAACGTCAGGTCACGATCAGGAACATTGTTTGTAGTGATTAAAAGTGGCAACATATGTGTAGTTTTGGAAATGGATGGTAAGTAACTATTTTAATACAGATGTACTAAACTTTAATAGCTTATTTTTCATTTAATGCAAATGAAAAACTGGCACGTTTGATGGATATTAGGTAGTCATAAAATACCTATTCGTTGCGGCTCGGTTTCGCAAACTTTTAGCTGTGTCGGCGAACAAATATAGACCTGAGTCGATCACAAATTTTTCGCGACCCAAACAGTTTGTAATCGAATCAAAATGACTCAATCATTTGGATATTTCATAATCATGAAAATAATTATAGGTATAGGCCGTGCGATTAATTATGAGCGCTGGACGAAAGTAGAGGGGGATGCGCAGTAGCGATTTTATACTAAGAATCGCTACTGCGCATACCCCCTCTACAATTTAGTTCATCAGCGAGGGCTCTCATCCGAATCATATTCGGTCATTTTGCACTGCACTGGGAAAGAAAAATGTGCGTGCACGCGTCGCCCGGAACTATGACACAATGACCTTGACGCCTAAGCGCTTACGACGTCACAGGTTTACTTCTATTGAAGTTGACGGCGCTAGTGTCACTCGACATCTTGCCATTACGTAGAGATGGGTCTAGCAATATCGAAAACCCTCAGTACATAATAATTAATTTTAATGAAATGATTTGATAGGTAGATGTACATTAATTTTGAAACGCATTGTAATACGTTATTTACTGACCGGAATTTCTTTTTATTCATAGAATTCAAAAAACTATTGGATGGAAAAGAAAACAAATATTATAGTAAATAAAGATTCTAATGAATGCTCCTTACGCGTCACATCACTGGCCTACTTGATATGAAGTCGTTGGCGTGCGGGATATAAAATTATTTGAAACCTTTTATGTTTTACCTTTTTAAAACAGAAAATAGTCTGTTTTGCATGAGAAAAAATAGTTCGTCGTGTCCATATTACAAAATTACAAAGAAACAAATTTATTTATTATTTATTTATTATTTATTATTACAACACCTTACAATATGACATCTTACAGTTTATTCCAATACAATATCACATTTCCTGACACATTTAAGTCCAACATGTAACTTAATTAATAAAAATTTTACCTTAATTATTAGACTTATAAGAGTTACATACTCTCAGTATGGCATACATATTATAACCATATAGACACAATTACTCAATACGGTGATATTCAATATACCTTTGTACTGCTTCAATAAACCTTGGTAGGTTGTGGAACAAATCATGTTCCGGTACACTATTTATAATCCGAACCGCACGCGAAATAGGAGCATATTTAAGAAGATTAGTTCTAGCCCTTGGCACCTCCAACAGGGCGGGGCGGCGACGAGCCCCCACGTATCCGTCTGGCACACGCAATCCCAACATCTCCAGCACTTCCGGGTGATGGACCAATCCTCGTAGTACCCTGGCTATATATTTAACTAGCGCCACATCTCTCCGCACCTCTAGTGTATTGTACCCAACTGTCCCCAGGACGAATAAACTTGGGTACATCAATGGGAAAAATGGATAAATCCCATACAATTTCAAATACAAAAATCTTGTGAACTTGTTCTGTATTTTTTCCAACATCTTAATGTATTTGTCCTCATGTGGATTCCAAATAATAGCACAAGTTTCAAGATGGCTTCTAACCAATGCATTATATAGAATTTTAAGTACCGCTATATTTTTAAAATCGTGACCCTGTCTCAATATAAACCCTAAATGTCTAAAAGATTTGCTACATAGATCCGTGACGTGTTTGCGAAACGTTAACTCGGTTACCATGTGAACCCCTAGATCTCGGACGTTTGAGACACGTTGCATTATTGCACCATCTATGCACATGCAAATGTTTTATGTATCGTAAATGTATTTTTTATAGTAGGTAGATACAATGAACTTCTATAGAAGTAGTGGCGTGGACGGCACGAAAATCCTGAACTTCTATAGAAGTTGTTGGCGGCGAAAAGGTTAAAAAAAGATTTAATGTACAATTCATATCACATTGTAATTTAATTTGCATGCCGAAAGGTAAAATGTACTGGGTCAATTAACTTCATTCCATCTTATATGTATACCTACATTATTAGCAAATAAATGATTTCTTTCTTTCTTTCTTACAGTTTTGAGTTTCTTGCGATTTTATTATATGTATAGATGTATCTATAAGTAGATAATAATATACTGAATAATGAATGAAGGTGGTGAAACGAGCGGTAAATGTAGATACTAGATACTATTTTGTCATTTCCTTTTCTGTATGTACTATATTATTAATGGTGTACAATAAAGTTATATTCTATTCTATTCTAACATCAATGAGACCATAAGACTGATTCGTTAGCCGAGTGGTCACAAGTGCGACTGCCGAGCAAGGGGTCTCGGGTTCGATTCCCGGGTTGGGTAATGTATTACTGTGTTTTTAAAAAAATCTCAGTATCATCAATCATTCTCAATAATCTCAATAGGTTCACATGGGACTCATAACATAAATAGTGAAAAGTGAGTGTGACATTGGACAGTGGCATTTCGTACCATAATGTGCACCTCTACCCTACCTACCTATATAATAAAAGGCTTGATAATATGTTATGTGTGAGACCATAAGCCACTTTTGAAAAACCTGAGGAATTCTAAAATCGATACGGACCACTTGCTTATCAGTAAGACTTGTAACAAATCAACCATCGCTAACCTTTTAAGTAACTACTTCCCTAAGTTATGTGTAGCAACTTGACAGCTTCGACAATCTATTCTTGGAACCCACAAGTATGTTTTGGTTCGGCGTTTGTCATTTGATATCGAGAGAACTTGACTAGCTCTGCAAACTAGTACGTGCTATCCAATAACGCAATGTAATGGAATCATGTTCCTAATAACATTTTTTTAAGGGGTGAATAGGTTATAGTGAATAGGTTGCTTATGGGACGACGTGCTCCATCGTAGACTGCATCATCACTTACCATCAGGTGAGATAGTGGTCAAACGTCGCCCCATCAAATATAAAAAAAGAGGGGAATATCATCGAATGACTGTTCCTGCCTGGGTGAGGCGGGAGGGAGTGTCAGACTCTTACTGACTAAAAACCACCCCGTTCCTCCTCCGAGCCGGAGCCCCGGTAACCCGTTAGGTTCTCCGCGACTCCTAATAACATTACGTTAAGATAAACATGGTTAATAAAACACAGATATAACATAACATCATATATCACGCCTTTTATCCGCGAAGGGGTAGGCAGAGGTGCACATTTACGGCACTTAATGCCACTATGTACAATGAAACACCTACTGTTCAGTATTTTAAGTTATGAGTCCCATGTAATAGGGGGTAAGCCTATTGCCATATAACAGGCACAATTTCCGACTCCGTGCTACTACTCAGAATTTTTAAAAACCCAGTAACACTTTGTCCGACCTGGGAATCGAACCCGAGACCCCTTGCCCGGCAGTCGCACTTGCGACCACTCGGCCAACGAGGCAGTCCAACGATTTAATTTAATATCTATTCATACACATTTTAAATGAACTGAGTTAATGCAGTAAGTACATTGTACAGTGGCATAATGTACACCTCTGCCTACCCCTTCAGGGATAAAAAAGGCGTGATGTAATGTTATGTTTTAAATCGTTGGATATTTAATAGTCAGCTCTTAAGTGCACATTCCTGCATGATCTCGAGTTCGTTTCTCCGTCGCTCTATCACGCTTCGCTCTTGTCAATACAAAGAAAGTTTTAGTGTTTTTTTCTTATTGCTCAACGCGCGCCGGCTTCATACCGTTTTGTATTTCATAGTTTTTGCTCTCATTTTAAAATATAGGCAGAAATAACTGGTTGGTTTTTATAGAATAGTGTTTTTTTATTTATTGAATAAAATCTTTATGCTCCAGAAGCATAATGGTAGTACTAATCGGCTTATAGGATAATGGTCGTTTAGATAGACTATATTAACCAAATTTTTGCCACAGAAGAACGTAGCAAGATTAATTATTTTTATTTTATTTACACTTCTTGTAGGTATACAATGGCGGACTTAATGCCTAGTGGCATTCTCTTACAGTCAACCTTAGGGTGATGCAGAGAGACAAAATAGTAGGTGTCAACGTTTAACACTTGTGAGTTTTGATCCTACATTGACATGTAGATATAATTACATATAATTAACATTAACATTAAAATTAAAATTATTAATTCTTAAGTTATAGACAACTGCACATATTTTTAGTAATCAATGCCTAATGTTAATGGTTTGACGGTCACAATTTTTTCACTTTAAAATGTTACCATGTTTTAGAAGCTAAGTCATGATGACATCGTCCAATTAAACCCCAATATTTTAAACGCTCATGTAGCAAAACAAATAATATAGTTAATACAAGGAAAGGGCAATATGACATCGTAATGAACCTACATAAGTAAAGATACGTAAACAAACAACTATATGTATCTATATATAGAGTATGTCGGTATATTATGATATTATACATTATCTCTACAAGATACCATCTCGAGTGTTGATTGTTGACTTCAAGCCGGTACTCCAACGCGCATGCGCGCTCAGTATGCTCGCGCGCACGTCCCACTCAAGTCTTGTGCCCACGTGATCAAATTGTTATTAATCTATGAATTTATCAATTTAATTTATAGTGTTTGTTTTTACAAAAACAGTGGCATTATGGATCGCATTAATTTCACGATTAATGGAGAGCGGTATTCTTTAAGTAAGTATTTTTTTTTAATTAAAATTGTATTTTATTGACTAAAATCCTGAACCTTTTGAGCCTGCCAAGGGTTGTGATTATACAAAACCCACTCCTACATATATGTAAACTAAGTTCACTGTAAAGCAATGGACTATCATAGGCTATTGATGTTAAAGTGAAATGCTAAAGAAAAAAAAAGTTGTAATTTATTTTCTCCTCAGTACATCGATCAATTTTCACTGCTATTGTCCAGCAATTGTTGTTTTTTGTTCAATGAAAACTGTACTTTGTCGTATTAAAAGAACGTCCAATTTTGACTAAAGGTCGAACTCAAAATATGCAACTGCGTTGTCCGTTAATAGGTTTTATTAATCTCATTTTATTTCGTAATCATGATGAAACTTCATCATGAGACAAAATTAAATATTTTTAGCAAAAAAAATGGACAAACTGGTTTAGTATTAACAACAGTTTCAGAGGTCATTAAACTGGATCTGAAAAAAATGTTTCTTTACTCTACCTATGTATAAATAACATAGTTTCGATTTAGTTCGTTTACACCTAACTATGTATAATAAAATTGTAGGTACCGTAGTTTTTTTTTAAGGCATAAGCCGGTAAACGAGCAGACGGATCACCTGATGGTCAGCAATCGGCGTCGCCCATGGACACCTGGAACACCAGAGGCGTTACAAGTGCGTCACCGACTTTTTGGGGATTAGGAGTTTGAGGGTCGTTGGAGATTCAGGGATTGGGGAGATTGGGGAGATTGGGGAAGGGGAAGGTAATTGGGCCTCTGGTAACCTCACTCACACGACGAAACACAACGTACGCGTTGCTTCACGTCGGTTTTCTGTGAGGCCGTGGTATCACTCCGGTCGAGCCGGCCCATTCGTGCCGAAGCATGGCTCTCCCACACTTAAAAATCTCATTATGTATACTTAAATAACATAGTTTCGATTTAGTTCGTTTACACTTACTTAACTATAATAAAATTGTAGGTACCGTAAAATGGGGTGAATAGGGATCGAGAGGTGAATAGGGACAAAACAGGGGTGAAGATATAAGGAAATTCTTCATAGTATCGATTCATCCCTCTCCTGTCCCTTTCCGTCACTCAAACCCTATTCACCCCATTATACCGTTACTCAAATTTTAATGAAAGCCATAAATGGACCAAGATACTCGCTACTAATACACTACATCATACAATCATCAATCCTACTAATCACTACATAGTATAAAACAAAGTAGCTATCCGCCGTCTGTCTGTATGCTTAGATCTTTAAAACTACGCAACGGATTTTGATGCGGTTTTTTTAACACATAGAGTGATTCTTAAGGAAGGTTTATATGTATAATACATACATATTACACCCGTGCGAAGCCGGGGCGGGTCGGTATAATTATTGTAACTGCGAAAGTTTCTGAGGATTTATGAGTATGTGTGTCCGTTTGTTACCCTTTTACTTGTCCGTTTGTTTTCTTCTCACTGGCGGACTGACATAGCATAACATAAACATAACATCACACCTTTTATCCTCGAAGGGGTAGGCAGAGGTACACATTATAGTACTGTACAATGTAACACCTACTTTTCACTATTTATGTTATGAGTCCCATGTAATAGGGGGTGAGCCTATTGCCATATACCGGGCACATTTCCAGACTCCGTGCTTAGTGGGTTTTTAAAAATTCTGAGTAGGTAGTATACTCAGAATTTTTAAAAACCCACTAATACTTTGCCCGATCCGGGAATCGAACCCGAGACCCCTTGCCCGGCAGTCGCAATTGCGACCACTCGGCCAACGAGATAGTGATGGACTGACTGACAGACTATTATTTATTTTGCATTTGTTGACGTTTCAAAGTAAATTATGGTTTAATTAAATGCTTTGACTTTGTGATAAAATAATTTAAGATAGGTACTATTATTAGAGATCATCAAGATCCCTTGCTCGGTAGTTGCGGTTGCGACAAGGTACACAGCGGTAGAATATAATGAGCCACCGATCTCCAATAAAAATAAATGTTTTAGTTCAAAATGTGATACCTCATTTAATCGATTTCGCACACCAATAAACTCCTTAGTTCGTCGAAATTGTTATGGTCGTTGTCAAGACCGTGTCTAGTTGTAATAAGTATCTAAGTACATAAATATTACAGCTGTGTATACATTGTAACAGGTCTTAATATTTAACATTGCGTATAACATCAACACCCCAAAAGTGCCCACTGTTAACCAAAGGCCTCTTCTCACACGGAGAAGGTTTGAGCATTAATCACCATGCAATGGGACTCATAACATAAATAGTGAAAACTGGATGTTATTTCTATGTGCACCTGTGCCTACCCCTTCGGGGATAAAAGGCGTGATGTTATGCTATGTAATTAGATATTATAAGCCCAGGTTTCCTCACGATGTTTTCGTTTATCGTTCGTCAGTGGTATCTAAATAATCTTACAAAATATATGTATATAACTTGGATAAGTCACATTGGTACTTGGCGTCGGTAAGTTTCGAACCTGCACACTCAAGCATGAGAAACGGGCTTAACTCTCCGAGAAACCACAACAGTTGAAATTTCGTATAAATACATAAAAAATAATACAAAATACAATTGGATACACAATTATTCGTTATCGCGATACCTAATTATTATTTTACGTATAAAAATAACAACGAACTGATAAATTGAAATGAGTGTTATCGGCTTGTTTATTTACATGCAATGTGCATACATAATATACCTCCTTTATATACATATAAATAAAAATAAATATCCGTTCGTTAGTCTCGCTAAAACTCGAGAACGGCTAAACCGTTTTGGTTAAATTTTGGTCTTGAAATGTTCGTGTAAAAAAGATATTTAGGCGCTAGGAAGTTTGCCGGGTCGCGTCGGTATAAACATAAAAGTTCACATACCTACAAATGACATCAATTTGTGGATCACACAAAGAATGGTTCCGCGAGGGAATCGAAATCGAATAGTAAGAATTCCCATGGTAATATTAAGCTCGCCTATGTTATTGTTGTAGTATATTAGTGACGGTATGTCAATATTCCATGATAATTGTATGTGAGGGTGTTTGAATAAAAGTCAGTGTTTAACCAACTTGCGTGCGTTTCATTACATGGTGTCAGAAGTGGGATCTTTTTAACATTAATTGCGGGTTAAAAAGATATTTTAGTAACAATAAACTATTATTCTAAGTGTCGTTGTGTACAAGAATAATAAATATGGAGCACGCACGTCCTCCAGTGGAATTATCGCTCGACGGTGGTCCAGCCGCACGGTCCGACGCGTGGCATAAATGGCGGAAACAGTTCGAAGTTTTCCTTAAAGCATCTGGAGTGAGCAAAGAGCCTAAGGAAGTTCAGGCTAGTTTGTTGGTTAACCTCATCGGATCAGCTGGTTATGAGGCTTTTACAACTTTTACGTTTGAAGGAGGTGAAAGTGAAGACGACATTCATTGCGTATTAAGGAAGTTCGATAAATATTTCGGCACGAAACCAAATATCACAGTGCGGCGGTTTAAATTCTTTTCACGCGATCAGGAAGAGGGTGAAAACATCCATCAATATGTAACCGCGTTGAGGGTATTGAGTCAGCAGTGCGAGTTCAGTGAATTGCACGAGAGCCTGTTGCGTGATAGGATTGTGTGTGGTATTGTAAACAATACGGTGAGAGATAGACTTCTCCGCACAGACGAGTTGTCGCTATCCAAAGCGATACAAATCTGTCAGGCGGCAGAGATGTCCAAGGAGGAGAGTAAGCACATCGACGGTGCATCTGAGGGGGTGCAAGTGGATGCTGTGCAAGGCGGCCGCAGAGCACGAGGCGGGCGGCGCGCCGGAGGATGGCGCGGAGCCGGCGGAGCGCGAGCAGCGCGCGCGCCGCTTGTCGCTTGTGAGCGATGCGGCAGCGTGCGGTGTCTCGGTGGCGAGCGGTGTCCGGCGTGTGACGTAAAGTGTTATGTTTGTGAAAAGAAAGGTCATTTTTCGCGAGTGTGTAAGCATACAAAATCGATTCGCAAAGTGTTAAATCTCAGTGTAGAAACCGTAAATAGTGATAGTGACGAAGAAAGTCAGAAACAAAGGTTTTATATAAACACCTTAGATAATAAGAAAAAACAATGTAAGTCGCCATTGGAATGGACAGAAATTATAGAATGTCAAGGTAAAAAACTTTTATTAAAAATAGATACTGGATCAATGATTAATGTTATCTCTAAAGTAAATTATATGAAGTTAGGGTTATCTATTACAGACCTTAAACCGTTCACAAAACGTGTATATTCGTTTACAGGCAATCAGTTATCAATTATAGGCATTGGCAAGATTTCTTTTATGTTTAGAAAAACTAGTTATGTGTTATCATTTGTTGTTGTGGATTTGTTTTGTCAGTGTACTCGGTTTAGAGGGATGTATTGCGTTAGGATTAATAAATCAAATAAATACAATCAATTTGGATAACTATAATGAATTGTTTCAAGGATTGGGAAAATTACCTGGCAAATATAGTATAGTAATAGATAAAAACGTACAACCAGTTATATGTCCTACTAGGAAAATTCCATTCGGTCTTAAGGATAAATTAAAGGAGGAATTGTGTAGAATGGAAAACTTGGGTGTAGTTAGGAAGGTCACTCATCCAACCTCATGGGTAAATGCAATAGTTTTAGTCGCGAAAAAAGATGGCAGTATTCGTGTTTGTTTAGATCCGCGACCATTAAACCGGGCGGTGCAACGTGCGCAGTACTCGCTCCCGACGGTACCGGAGCTGGCCGCGCGCTTGCGCGGTGCTACTGTGTTTAGCGTGTTAGATGCGCGCTGTGGTTTCTGGATGGTTCAAATAGACGATGTGAGCGCTGATCTCTGTACGTTTGGCACACCATTCGGTCGATACCAATTTCTGCGTTTACCATATGGTATACACTGTGCGCCAGAAGTATTTCATGCGAAGCTTAGGCAACATTTAGAAAATTTAGAAGGAGTTGAATCTTTTATTGATGAC